TACGTACGTACGTACGTACGTTACGTTACGTCGTACGTGTACGTACGTACGTAGTACGTACGTCGTACGTACGTACGGTCGTCGTGTCGTCGTGTCGTCTCGTCGTCGTCGTGTGTGTGTGTGTGTGTGTGTGTGTGTGTGTGTGTGAGAGAGAGAGAGAGAGAGAGAGAGAGAGAGAGAGAGTTCTTGTATTGGATTTTGTTTATGTTATGTTTTTTTACATAACTGAAGGAATTAATGAATTGAAACAGGTAGCAGCATTTAAAATGGGATCAACTGTAGTTCTTGTTTTCCAAGCTCCTGTAGGCACTTCAGATGTTAATAATGGTGATGCTTCTGGTTTTGAATTTTGCATAAAAAGGGGGTCCAAGATTAAAGTGGGAGAAGCTTTGGGGAGACGGAAGAGTTGATAGAAAGCATTTATATTTTTCTTGGAAGCAATTAAACTTTATTTTTTTTGCTCCTAAACTTATTTTTTGGCCAAGTTATTTGTTTATTTTACCATGATTTTAAACTTCACTTTTTTGGATCCTTTGGAAGGTGGTAAATATAGAAGTTGGTTGTTTTCTTTTTTGTTGATTATGGTTAGGGATGGTGTGTATTCCATAAAGAAAAAGATTTGGTAGTCTCTTGTTGGACTATAAATTGTTTGTGATGCGGAAAAGATTTTGTAGACATGTTGGATTCTAATGTACACTTTAGTGAAGCATGCAAACCCTAAACCCAGCTACCTATGTAAAGGAGGAATAAAGAAAAAGAAGAAAGAAATTTATCAAAATACACTTAATTTATCAACTATTGAATACTGTACACAATTTTTATTATTTTTATAATTTTTTTAAAATTAAATAAAAAGAAATAGATAAAGTATTAAATACTCTCTATTCCGATAAATTTCAAACAAAATGTTATCATTCCAAATATGGTCCAAATGATGGCAGTTCCAACCGTGAAGTAGAATGTTCTCATGATGGTCGGATATAGGATTATAAAAACGAAATCGCATGTTTTCTTTTACTTTTGGAAAAGTATTTTATAAGTAAGCGGGTGCAGGATCCAACTGACTTTTCAACCTGCAGACGGTTCAAATAAGATGTGGACAGTGCCAAAAACATCTCCAAAAAAGCAGCACATTTGGAAGTTCAATTTTTTTTTGTTTTATTTATAACCATCTTTGCTTAGATGATGAATTTCTAAAATTTTAAATAAAAAGTCCATGTTTAAGGTGAATTCTAGAGGGGGCCTCATGTGTACATATGAGTTGGCTGACTCATATCCTTTTCGTTTTTTCTTTTGGTTAGTTGAATGCTGGCTTTTGAAAAACCTAAATTAATTTATTTGTTTTGTCATTTAGTACCCTAAACCCTAAATCCTGTAGCCTGAGATGAGTTTGCACAATTTTATATGTACTCCTAGATAGGTGATTTGCCCTTGGGAGTAATTATTCGTATGCCATTTATAATTTTATATGGTGTATGCTTAAATTAAAATGATTCCTTGGTGCTCTTAGTTCGGGGATATATCCAGCGACCATTTAAAAACAAAAAGGGAAGAAATTCCACCTCTCCCTGCAAGCATGAAAAGTCGAATGTCCTAAAATTGAAAGCAGACCATTCGGTGGTAAAGAACTCAAAATCAAACCTTTTTTTTTTTCTTATTAAGTAGATCTTAAAATTTCATATCTAAAGAATTTCCTTTAGAAACTTTAACACACGAGAGAGTAAAATATAATGCACTGCAGGAGCACCTGCTAATATTTAAAATTTCAAAGTTCGGCAGCATTTTGGAAATAAGAAAAAGAAAAAAACCTCATGGAATTCGGCCGATTTTAGAATATCAATCAGAGTGAAGAATTCGTGACCAATATTCTATTGAATTTAAATATTTGAATTCAACAAATTTTTTGGAGAATATGCTTTCCATTTCAGGTTACAGTTAGTAATTAAAAAGAGGTGGATTTCTCAAAGAGTTGATGAAACCTCCTTCCAAGTTGCTAAAAGTCTAATAGGATGCATGCGAGGTTCCCTTTTAACTTACTATTTTTTTCTCCTAAGGATTAAACATGTCAATTGCTTCTTTGTATTGACAATGTGCTTCCATGTTAAGACAAATGCAATTACACAAAGTTCATCGAATATCAGTGATGAATTATTTATTTATTTATTTATTTGAATATTGATCTATTCAACATTTTGCTTATTTGAAACTATTCCATGTGTCTTTTGTTGGGACATTTTGAAGTGGTTGCAGTTGGCCTACGGATGTATCCATAGCTGTAGAGGTAAGGTGCACGTTCAAATTTTATCATGGTATATAATTTTGATATCAAATGTTCTTAAGATTATCTCAAAATCTATTTTTATATCTAATTATAAAATTTTAAATTTCAAAAATGGTCAAAATCAAGTAGATCTATGAACATATGAAAATCTTGAAAATTGACGGTCTAGATAATATGTTGTAAAATAAACCTTTTTATTTTTCATGGTCATACATCTCGATGATCAATCAAAGGATTTTTTAACATTAAAACTACCTTTTCCTTACGGATTTTTGAGGTGCATCCATAGTTCCGCATTTCAAGGTTGCATCCTCATATAAACTTTTTCCTTTTGAAATTGAATCAAATGATACGAGTAAAGATCCACGGTTCAGAAGAGAGAGAGAGAGAGAGAGAGAGGATTGAGGGTTTGTGGGGTATAGAAATGATTGGGGGTGAAGAAGATGCATTTTCAGATATAAATTTTCCATTGAAAGATCTTTTCCCAAAACTGAGGTTAAAAAATAAGGCAATGAAATGAAGATTTTCTCCCGCAATTTGGGCATTGGAAATGCCTCATTTCCAGAGGAGAATATCTTCAAAAATAAAACTTAATTTTCAAGGATCCCAAATGGGCTCTTAGTTAAACATGACATGTTCTCTTTCTTTGTACATGCTTTCAAGTTATTTGAGCTGGAAAGAAGCCATGGATTGTATTGTTCAAGATGGAATTTAGGAACTTTCTCAAAATGCTAATCTGGTCCCAAGCTGGTCAACCCCTTGATGGAACAGAATGGAAACATGATTCGTGTAGTAGATCCCAAATAGTTGGAATAAAGCTTGGATGATGATGATGATCTCAAAATGCTGTGAGAGACCATTGGGTATTGCAATAGCCGCTGGGTTGAAGCAATGGCAAATATTGGAAGGAGTAAGCATTCTAAACATGGATTTCAAGAGACCACCTATCATCAAAGAAGACAAGACCCAAAGAAAGTGTACTTCGAGAAGCAACGGACAAACAAGCCCCAGTCTAGACTCTAAACAAATGCATCTGCTACTTGGGTACTCCTAAACTGCCAAAGAGGTACATCAACAGTTGCTGACTTCTAACTTGGACAAAAGCAAAGTGGTATTCTTCTTTGGAGCCAAGGGAGCCACAAAACATTTGTCTCCAAAGAAAGTGTACTTCGAGAAGCAACGGACAAACAAGCCCCAGTCTAGACTCTAAACAAATGCATCTGCTACTTGGGTACTCCTAAACTGCCAAAGAGGTACATCAACAGTTGCTGACTTCTAACTTGGACAAAAGCAAAGTGGTATTCTTCTTTGGAGCCAAGGGAGCGACAAAACATTTGTCTCCCTCATCACCTCTATCCCTCCAATACTGTCATTTGCTGAGCTTCAAGTGCTGCTTCTACACTTGAGTGCTTTTCATCTCTTCAACTCCACTCAGTAATCAATCCTCATATTTCACTGTGTCCACCCAGAAACAAGTGACCATACCACAACCACAAAGGGGAACTACTGATTGTAATCCATCTCCCCCCCCCCCCTCCTCCCCCAAAAAAAAAAACAAGACTAATTATGATGCGATGTTTATATGAAAACCATACAATTGTCACCTTATTTTGCATATGCTAATACTACTCAGTTAAGAACAAGAAACACTACAAGAACAAGCTGGGTGGAGGGGGGTGTGTCTGAAAAGGGATCGTAAGAAGCACCATATGCTTCTTTCCAATATATTGCGAGGCTAGGGCAAAACCCATCTTCAATCAGATTCACCTTCCACATATTCCAAGCAATATGAGCTTGTTCAGATTTCCTACTTCTCAATTTCTGATTGTAAGTTTATTGAGATAATGCAACATCACAAGAAGTTACATCTTTATCAATTCCATAGTATATTGACATTAACAATAAGATAAGAAATCTAAACAGCATTAGCATAAACAAGTATACGTCAATTATGAGGCACGCGCATGCACACACACACACACACATACACAAAAAAAAAAGACTCCAATAGTCAAGGAAACAAGTCAAATCACAACCAAGGCCGACTTAATCGGTTTGATGCAACACTAACTTGAAGTCAAGGAAGAATCATAAAGATGATCTGACCCAGTCTCCTCAATCCAAAAGTTAGGAATTGCGCTGTGTGTGTGCCCATGTTTTCCACAAGGCACTCGTGCACACACACACACACACACATGTACACGCAAAAAAAAAAGACTCCAATAGTTAATGAAACAAGTCAAATCATAACCAAGGCCGACTTAATCGGTTTGATGCAGCACTAACTTGAAGTCAAGGAAGGATCATAAAGATGATGTGGCCCAGTTTCCTCAATCCAAAGTTAGGGATTGCGATCTGTGTGTGCACCCATGTTTTCCACCTAAACATGGATGGGAATATTTAAAATTAAGTGCTAGAATTCCACCCATTGCACTCTAAAACATTGTGACAACCAGAAATTTCCTCTGAATTGAAGTTTTAAATGGAAATAATGCAAAGAAACATTACACTGCAAAATCTCTGTGAACAAATCTAATGGACTTTGAAGTATGAACTACCAATGCTTGCTAGCACAAGGTTCTTACAAAGAACACAGTTTTACATGCTCTAAATGGCAATTGGAAAATCCAGGCAACCCATTTGAAATCGTTTCTCTGAGTCAGTTTGAACTCTCTGTCTAGCATTCACATATCATAGAAAGATAATGGAGATATTAATCAAATAACATGAAATAATAAGAGAAATGGAAAAACAAATAGAAGGGGAGGGGGGCAGAGGAGGAAGAAGAAGAAGAAGAAGAGAAAGGAAGTTCAGTTAAATACAGACTTATAAAAAGGATAAAAAGAAGCAAGGTCCAAGTTAATTAGAACACAATGAATTCCTCCCCAGTGGCCTAATTCCTTAGTTCCTCTATCGAGGCTTAATCATTGTATTTCAAAAAGTAACAAGCTCTAGAAGTAAAGGCTACTCCTCCCTCCCTCCTTAATTCCTCTATGGAGGCTTAACCAATGTATTTCAACAAGTAACACGCTCTCGAGGCTGCTCCATCCCTCCCTCCCTCCCTCTAACTTCCAACTGCCAATATAACATGACATATTAGATTAAGAACAATTTGTCCGATATATCTCACAAATTTTTTAATCTAGCTTCAACCATTTAGACCTTGGGTCCATCAGATTATGGTTTCCTTGTTTTAGTTTCCTCTATTTATGAAGGTCCACCAGACTATAGTTGACTATGGTTTTAAAAGACCCATGTACATGACATATACAGCTTTAAGGATGCATGAGAAAGCACCAACCACAAATAAAAAATGTTATATGATTTGTTAACTAAACGAAATAAAACTGCATTGTCCATACACCATAAAGAATAACTCTATAAACATTTGATTGTGTAAATAGCAAGGATCTTTAGGTATGAACAATTAAGGTGATTAACAAGTTTCAGAATGGAATTTCATTAGAAACTGAATCCAGACAAGTGAGTGATGGCCATGTTGTCTAATCACTCATTATCAGCCAACCTTACAGTCCTTCCAACAGCAAATGAGAACAACCAATCAGATTCTCCTAGCAGCCTCTATATCATCGTTTTACTCCTGCAAAAAGGTTTAACATCAGATGCAAGTTAACACTAACCAGTTAAAACCTAACAGTAACTATAAGCAACCATATGAAACAAATTTATAGAATTAGTATATCTTCAGGAAAATATGAACAAATCCAAAAATCCATACACAGAAATGAAATGTAGAACAACCAAAGTATCAAAAGTTCATGAATAATTAAGAGAATATGTTTCCAAGTTATGCTTCTCAATAAGAGAACTAAATAATAGTCACAAATGACCAGAAGAAAGAACCAACTTCAAAACTAATAAGCAGAAACTAAGGCACCAAACTCCAACAACAAAAAGTAAACCAGACCATTCGAAGTATTGGAAATACAATAGAAATGCCTAAGCATGTTCGCAAGTTACTCCATGCAATCTTTACCAAATAGTTATCATAAACTATCCAAAACCAAAAAAAAAAATGTATGCTCAAAGAAAATAAGTTATGAATATAGCACCCAAAAGTCCATAGAGCAAAATAAAATTTGGAACATCTAAAGTAAAACTAATTTTGGACAAAGCAAGGGTGAGCCCTTCTTAGGATACAGATTACTGGCACCCAATTTACACCCCCAAATTCAGTCCTTCCAGTCCAAATATTGATAGATATATATATATATATATATATATATATATTGACAATATCGACATGGCATTACTTAGCGGGGAAAAGTTTATATAGAGCCGAGGCTCTAAACAATGAAATTAGAGCCTACCTCAAAAATTTCACTAGAAGAGGTTGTTTTGATGCCCAAATATCCTCAAATTGATCATCTTAACATCAAGATACACGGGCATGAGAAAAAAACGGATTTCAAGTTTTGGAAATAATGTATTTTGTAGCGCATTTTTGGACAGTCAATTTTCAAGATTTTCAAGTTTTCATATATCTCTCGATCTACACTAGTTTTGAAGCTTTAAACTTTATAAATAAAGATGAAAATATATTTCAAGGTTATCAAAAAGATTTCCAATATTGAAACCACATTTCTTGACACTGTTTGAAGGTAGGCTCTAATTTGATTGTTTAGAACCTAGGCTCTATACAAACCGCACCCTTACTTAGCAGGAATATAAAGACAATAACATAAATCGAATAACAATTAATACACAAAGGGAATACAAGAATAGTTGTGGAGGGGTATAAACAGTATCTCAGGAAAAAAGAAAAAAGAAAAAAAAAAGAAAGCACACCTACGTCTGCTTTGCATAAGTAGAGGAATTGGGGACACGCTTGTTCCTGAACATCATGTATCCGACTGGTAAGACCACCCCCACCATCATTATTATGGCCCCAATTATGTATCTCATAGGCCCAGGGGCTTCTACTTCTAAAAGCCTCCTCAGCTGCAGTATACATGAAAACCAACAAAAACCAACTCTTAAAACACCATTAGAGAGAGAGAGCGAGAGAGAGAGAGAGAGATTTTCCTGATCTAGTTCAGTATGAACACCCCAAGAAACTCTCAAAATCCCATTGCATAAAGACAAGTAATTTGCAGACCCCTTGACTTTCTGATAAAATTCAGTGTATACACACCACAAGCGTTAGAGCTCAATAACACATTCGAGAGAGAGCGAATTTGAAGAACCTTTAATTCCCTAATCCAATTCAATATAAACCCAAATAAATCACACAAAAAATGGATAAAAATCGCATAAAAATATATTTACATATAGACCCATCTCAATTAACAAGAAAACATAGGGAATCAACATGTGAAAACCATTTCATGATAATAGTTCAGGCATTTATAATAATTCCAAAACAGAAAACAATCTGGATCTAATTAACAAACCATAACCAAAATAAAAATACAGACATACACGCATAACCACATCAAGAAAATAGTAAAGGAAAGCAAGAAAACCCAATAATCCATGTCAATTGACAAAAAAATTCAGAATACAAAAGGCTAATGCATAATTAAGCGTTTATTTGCAAAATCGCAGGCCCATTAATACATGGATTCTACAGGAAAACGTAGGCCTTCATATAGAATCAAAATCTAAATAATGGGCAATGGAGTTTATGATGGAAAAGGAGAGAGAGAGAGAGAAAGAGAGGACTTACAGGCATGGTTACATCGATGTAACTCAAGAGTGAGAGAGAGAGAAAGAGAGAGACTGAATATGGGAAGAGGCAGCAGTGATCACGTTATTATGAGATGGTGGGGTGTGTATAAGGCCGAGGCCCTAAACAATACAAAAAAAAGGAAAATTTTTGTATAGGGGCGAGGCTCTAAACAATCAAATTAGAGCTTATTTCAAAATTTTTACTAGAAAATGTTGTTTTGATGTCCAAATATCCTCAAATTGATCAACTCAACATCAAGATGCATAGACATGAAAAACAAATAGATTTCAAGTCGTGGACATGGAAAGAAAATAGATTTCAAGTTTTGGAAATAGTGCATCTTGTAATGCATTTTTAGACAATCAATTTTTAAGATTTTGAAGTTTCCATTTGCTCGATCTACACTATTTTTGAAAGTTTAAATATTACAATTAAAAATAAAAATATATTTTAAAGTTATCACAAAAATTTCTAGTATTGAAACTATATTTCTTAAAACTATTTGAAAGTGCGCTTTACTTTGATTGTTTGGAGCCTCGACCCTCTACAGACCGCACCCTTTAAAAAAAAAGAAAAAAGGTGCTCCTACAAATAGCGTAGAATGTTGTTTTAGCTGTGTGATGCCTTGAAAATTTATTTTCATCTCTAAATATAAAATTTAATGTTTTAAAAATAAATAAAAGAATTATATAGAGCTGAGGCTCTAAAAAATAGAATTAGAGTTCACCTCAAAAATTTTACTAGAAGAGGTTGTTTTGATGCCCAGGTATTCTTAAGTTGATCATCTCCCCATCAAGATGCATAGACATGAGAAAAAAAATGGATTTTTAGTTTTAAAAATAGTGCATCCTATAATGCATTTTTGGATTGTGAATTTTTAAGGTTTTCATAAGTCTGCTCGATCTACATTATTTTTTAAGCTTTAAACTTTATACTTAGTTATCAAAACATAATTTAAGGCTATCACAAATATTTTCAATATTGAAACCACATTTTTCAACACTATTTGAAAATCGGTTTTACTTTGATTGTTTGGAGCCTTGGCTTTATAAAAACCACATTTGGAGATTCTTTTCTTCTTCTATTTTTCTTGAGAAAAAGAAAATAACATGTTATTGACCTGGAAAGCACTAATTTGTTTGTTTCAATTTATTATCAATTTACCAAATATAAAGCATAATATACGCGACCATCTTCAGTTTTGATTGTTTGAATGGACAGTACGATTATATGGATCTCTTGAATCGTTTGGTCAATATTAAGCATGTATGATGACCATTTTGATTTTTGATTTTTTGAATGGACGGTAATGATCATATGGATTTTAGCAAAATAGAAACTGCTCTTATTCCCAAAATACGCTTAAAAGAAGTTTTTTAACTGGAAGATTTTTAGTTCCCATGTTGTTTTAATCCAAATTTGGGAAGCTTATTAAATTAACCCAACAATTTAACGCTTTACCTATACTTTTTTATTTCCTTTCAGAATAACCATAAAAAAAAAAATGAGGTAATTTGAGGGATTTCTAGTGTAGAATGATGCCATTTCTAGTTGATTTTAGAGGTGTGTTTTTCATAATATAAAGTTGATGTCTTACATAACTTTTTTTTCCTTTTAAAATAATATTTGTTTTCGTAAAACGTAGTTCTATTATTTGGGCTGATAGAATGTGTTATTCTCAAAGTATTATTATAAATTATAGTTATCAAGATTGGACTCGATCAACAAGTCTAACCGGTTGAACGGTGTTTTGGTTTATCTTGCCTATAGTAAATGCTTTATTTGGTCAAACCATTCAAACCGATGTCTAACCTGTTCGACCAGGTGAATAAAGTTTTGAGTTTTTGACAGTTGTTTTGTGTAATGTATTTATTATTGTTATTATTTTTATTTTTCCTTAATCAGGCCAACAGATTTGCCCATAGTCACGCTTGTTTCGAATAGACCAGGAAAACGAAGAAGAGCGGCCCCATATCACCTCTTCACACAAGCTTGCACGCGCTCCTGAAACGCCCTGTTTTTTACAATTTTATGAATCCACCTATTCATCAGTGTAGCAAGGGTCACACACTCTGCTCGGCATGTAAAGCTAGATTGGACGACTGATGCCCCATGTGCCGAGAAGAACTCGGGGACATCAGGTGCTTGGCTTTGGTGATGGCGATGGCGGTTGAGTCTCTCCGGCTCCCCTGCAGGAACCACATTTATGGGTCCCCTGGAATCTTCCCCTACAAAAGCAAGCTCGAACACGAGCTGCCTTATAACTGCCCCTAGTTCGAGTTCAAGTTCAAGTTCAAGGTCGATTATGTTGAATCCGATCCTCAAGAAGCCCTGAACAAGAAATGGGAGGCCCCTCTCTTAACTTGTTCAGGTCAGTACTTCTGTCTACCCTTCGAGTTCTTTCACCTTGGTGCGGCACTGATGTGCATGGCCTTCCTCCGATTCATGGGAGAGGACATAGTGGCTGAAAACTTCAGGTACAGCCTAGAGGTTGTTGCGACCAATGGCCGCAAGCTCATGTGGAATGGAGTCCCTCGAAGCATTCGTGATAGCCTCTGAGAGGTTCGAGATCGCCATGACGGCCTCATAATCCACAAAGATGTGGCCCTGTTCTTCTGCAAAGGTGATCACAACAAGATCGATCTGAAACTCATTTGTCAGATTTGGGAGAATCAACATAACCCGGACCCTGGTGCGAGCATATTGTACTTGAACCATCAAAACCAACTTAGCTATCTGGAATGGAAACCTTATTCAGTAGGATTCTTCTATTGTGCACAGAGAGAGATCATTGAATTCTTCTTATTGTGCAGAGGAACCTGTATGCATGGAAACCTTATTCATTAGGATTCTTCCATTGTGCAGAGAGAGATCATTAAATTCTTTTATTGTAGAGAGAAAAAGAGAGAATCATTTAACTTTGCTGCCTCTGGCCGAGTTTGGAAAGAATTTTGGATTTTCGCAAAAATAAAAAGAGAAGTTCAAAAATATCTTTTGGAAAAGGTTCGTATACTTTCCCTACAGGTATAGCCTAAAGCTTGTTGTGCCCACCGGCACAAAGCTCGAGTGGGAAGGGGTCCCTCGAAGCATTCGTCATAGCCTCCGAGAGGTTCAAGATTGCCGTGACGGCCTCTTAATCCCTGAAGATGTGGTCATCTTATTCTGCAAAGCTGATCAAGCAGGGTTCTATTTCAAACTCATTTGTCAGATTTGGGAGAATCAACAAAACCCGGACCCTGTGTGAGCATATATCGTAATTGAACCATCAAAACCAACTTAGCTACCTGTTTGAATGGAAACCTTATTCATTAGGATTCTTTTATAGTGTAGAGTTTGATATCATGGAATTCCTGTATTGTGCAGTATTGTGCAGAGAGAACCTGCATGCATAGAAACCTTATCCATTAGGATTCTTTTCTTGTGCAAAGACATGTCATTGAATTCTTCTATTGTAGAGAAGACAGTGAGGAATTCGATTGTAGAGAATCATGGGTTAACAAACCCAGGTTTTGAATTAAAACCTTGGTTATGTTAAAACCTGCTTGCTCAAATAAGAATGGCTTTCAATGGGTTATTCAACTCTCATGTTGGATTAATTTTTTGTTAGTTTCTTGTAGGATGCGGCTAGCATGCGGCCAATCCCGCACATGTAGAAATGCAGGCCTGGCAATAAATATATATTTTTAAATATAATTTGATTCTAATTTTTAGAGAATATATTATCTTTAACACGGAGATCATGAATATGAAAAAACAATTGAAAACTAAAAATTATAATTATGTTAGGAAAACTTTTGAATCGTTAGTTACAATTGTTTTTAGATTGACCACCTATTTGCAAACTTTTGGACCATTAGTTGTAATTGTTTTTAGATAGATTACCTATTTGCATCGATCTTTAAGATGTATGCTTTATACCTCTGGACCTCATATTGTAGAAATGTGGTCTAGTACACATGAAACAATTGTTCTTTTCATGTATAATCTTGTGTGCTATTGCATCAAGTTCAAAAGAACTTTTTTTGAACTTTGTGATACACCCAAACTATCATAGCAGGTTGGTTACATCTACAACCCAAATGGAAGCGGGTTTTAGGAGGGTAAGGGCTAAATGGATAAGGGGAGGAGGATTTTCCGTTATGCTTCCCCTTCCCTTTCCATTTGTCTTTTTTTTTTTTTCTTATTTTTAGCATTATCACTCCTACTCACTCCCACATTACATGTATTCACCATAAGAGAGTTAGGAAGTATTCACCATAGAAGAGTTAGGAAGAGAAGAAGAGATAGGAGTAATGAGTAAGGGAGTAGAAGAAGATGAAGGTTGGTGAGATTTTACCATATGGACCATAGAAGATGGTCCATCCATTACCATCCTCTTACCTTTTCAAGAAAAATGAAATCTCCTCCACTGTTGTAGGCACATCGCCATCAAATTGGCCACAAAGGTCTCCCATGAGGGGGAGATCGAAAGTACAAACATCGTCTTTTGTGTCACCTCATCATATGAGTGACCGGCTCTCTCACTCTCTCTTATACAACTCTTGAACTCTCTTAGATGATCACCCACTTTGGTGTGATCATCCATTTTGCAACAAATGAGATTCCTCATTGTAATGATCCTTTGAGCTTCAGCCTAACAAAAAAAATGAAACCACCACTTTGGCGAAGTGAGAGAATAAAGAGACCACCTACCTTTTTCACTTATTTTGGGGAGGATTATGAGATGATTAGTGAAGAACCCGATGATGAACCTTATTCTTACCTACATGTTATGTCTTGTCTGGATAATAAGTTATGGAAGGAAACCATGCAAGATGAGATAAATTTAAAAAACCATGTATGGGAGATAGTCTGATTATCACATAACCTTAGATCCATTGGATGTAAGTGGATATTCAAAAAGAAACTTAACTCCGAATGGCGTATTGAAAAATACAAGGTAAGACTTGTAGCAAAAGGTTTTACTCAAAAGGAAGGGGTAGATTATTTTGACATCTACTCACCTGTTGCCAAAATGCCTTCCATTAGGATGATCATATCCATAGCAGCCTACCTTGACCTAGAATTACATCAAATGGATGTGAAAACTGTC